GAACTTTGCAACACGGGTCCTCTCTAAATTGTAGTTCGAAATCGAAGGACAGCGTCGACAACAATCTCACATCCATAGTTACGAACACTTGTCGAGGCTCGAGCGACATGAGCGCCAGTGTATCGGACATTACAATAAAGGCTCAGTCTTCCAGAGAATTCACTTAGAATATAGCTAGACAATACCACAAAGAGGCTATGATTTTGGTTGGATTAGCACTAACAGTTATATAAAGGTTTTATCAGTGTGCCTCTTTCCCCTTTTTCCTAAGCTTTCGATTCATAGTTTATGTTGGTTTCATTCATTTTAGGGGCTTAAAAGCATCAAAATCAGAGGCGCTGATACAAAGAAAAAAATGGAGGGATGCGAGAGGGAGGGTAGGGGGTCAACACCATTTCCTCGTCTCACAAATTATCTAGGCCAAAAATAGGTTGAAAGGGGGGGGGGAGGGGGATATGGGTTCAAGAGATCTAATCTTGTTTAATAATAATATTATTAATAATAATAATAATTTGATTACTGTTTGAATGAATTTGAATGACAAATAGCTATAATAATATGCTTGAAATAATATTAAATGTACCAACAACAACTATCAGAAACAATGTATATACATTCTTCAAGTAGGCCCCTTTATCCTCTTATAAAATAGGTCGGGGGGGGGGGGGTGAGCTCAAACGACAAGAGATGCAAGGTTACGGCGCCTATGATTCGTTTAATAATTGAAAAGATCAAAATAATTTTCTTGAAACAATATTTTTCTTTTATTGTAACACCGCTACCCCCTTCTTTGTTTCTCCCAGAAAAAAAATGCGTATTTATTTTGCATACATACATAATGGACAGACACGGGGTTATAACTTTCTATTCACCGTTCTTTAGTAGATTTTTGCCTTTTCGTTCTTCATCGAATGATTGCACCCTAAAGGCGGTTTGCGCTGTTCACTTAAGTGCAGGCTCACACCTGGACAAACAGGGACCCGTGCAGACACCCAGGGTAAAACACGGCACCATGGGTCACGATTGACGTGAATGGCTGAACTTGCCACGTGATTATGTCCCAACAAACCAATGACTGCCGTGGACACATGCCCCATGGTGTGACGTTCTTACAAAACTTTGCGCAATAAATGCAATCATGTGAAATTGTAACCCATGCCACGGAAGCTTCAGGTACAGATTTAAAGAGCAGGGAATAAACAGGTCAAAAGAAACACAAATTAGTTCTCACACCAAGGATCTCACTTTAGCGCATTCTTAAAGTTACTACCGTTAGGTGACAGTATTTTCTCAGTGTTTCCTTGGGAACATTCCAGAGTTGTGGGCTATCAGCACATCACTCCTGAAAGATCCACAGGTGCTTCGATTTCCTCCTGACTAGCCCCACAAACGTTAAATGACTGCTTCATCTTGTGTTTCTGTCTTTCTTGTCTGAATCAATCCTCCTCAACACCATAGGGGAAGACTGACAGTTCTGTCCCCTCTAAACTCTGAAAGGGGCCCGGCTCTCTAGCGTAGTTGGCTTAACCCGATTGCGCGGTGACCGGGTGACGAACTCCTTGTGGTCCGAGTTCACTCCCGGGGGTAGGCAGAAAAGCCACATTTCTCCCAGATTTACGGTATTTACAATGGAATCAAGGCCGAAAGGTTGCGATATCCATAATACCGAGCCTAAGGGTTTACAACTCATGGCTTCTGAAAACTTAAAAAAAAAAAAATAATGAAAGGGACATAGACACGTGGATAAACAAACAAGCAGAAAAGGGTAAAGAAACAAGGACAGAAAGACAGACATGCAGGCAGGCAGGCAAACCGACAGAATATCTACCCCTGTTTGTCTGCCTTACCTTCACCACCCTCTCCTCCTCCGTCCCATTTGCAATCAAGGCCACATTCAGGAAAACGCCAACAAAATGAAGAATGCCAGGGAGCCCCAAGTTCGGCGGCCCAAAAAGGTGTCAACAAGCACCGAGACAGAGGTTAAGAAACGTATTGTCTTTCCCCCAGCTCATGTTCAAGAACACATTTTATGTTTTGTAGACCCGGAATGTTATACCGTCCTTTTTATTCCCGGCTGGGGCCGCCGCTGTCGTCTGTAACCAATCACAACAATCTCCCGTTGTCAGGGGCGTATCCTTGCAGAGGCTGTTACGTTGCTAAATTCTAAATGCTATTATGAAAACTATTAGGCTACGTCTGTTGTTGTTTTCAGCGTCCAATTCGTCGCCATCAATGTTTTCGTCGTCATTAGGTGATATGTGTCACGTGATAATGAGAGTAAAAGTTTGGAGAAAGACGAACACGAAAAATAAGAAGGGGGAAAGAAGAAAAGAAGACAAAGAAGAAAGGCTGTGCAGAAAAGAATCACTAATCCTATCGATGATTCGAACTCGGGTGTCCGGCATGAGATAGGTGCGTTCTTAACCATCCGGGCTTGCTTTATTAGTTATGACTAAATTTCTGAGCATTATTTCTGAGCCCGAAAGCCGTCGTCGTGTAGCGGCTAGACGATCGCCTGTGGATCTGAAGGTCGTTGGTTCACATCCAAACGGTGCTAGTCTTTCTTTATATATATTTTTTTAACGACCTTGGCTCTTAGCTAGACTTAACCAAAAATGAGTACCACGTAAAACTGCTAGAAGTAAAGGCTACCGGCGTGATGCTAACCACATAACCCCTCAAGTGCCGATTGGTCTATAAAATATATGTCTAGATCCATAAAGCAAATACGCCGGAAGATACGTAAAAGGGTCCTTTACTAAATTCGTGCTTCTGAATACCCACATGTAGCTAGCTGTTCTCTCTCGGAGGATACGCCGCTGGATGTCAGCGACACTAAATGTCACGGCGATTCCCGTCTGTTGGTTTACATTACCAAAACAAAAGTTTTTACAGCGTCTAATTGTGCAATATTTCAGTCAGTTCATCTTTTATAGAGGCCCGGGTAAACCATTGCCCAAATCTGGCGCCACACTGACATCAACAATAAAGAGGCGCCTGACACCTTTCCGCAGTACAAGTTTTAGTTTTCCAGATATAAATTGTTGTCTTATCAGACAGGGGCAGCGGTAGCGCAGTCGATAGGGTGCTCTCTTTCAAATCCAGCTGCGACTCGCTGCACCCACGGTCGGTGTTCGAAACCAGGCGGTTCCCGGGTTCACCCAGCGTCTAGGAAATGGGTACCAGAGTGATACTCTGGGGTAAATGGAGGAACGTCGCTGTAGCTTCAGGGTTACGTGCGGACGGCGACACGAGCGGACAGTTTCATATCAGCTGTCCGTACTGGTGGCAGAGCACTTATGGTTTTTAACCGTGTGCAATGACGCTGGTTCACATCTCCCGACTTTACCTTTACCTTTGCAGATGGACTGAGGAAACGAGGACTTCCAAAAAAAAAAAAAAATCTGTAAAGCGAACGTTGATAAAAGAAGTCAAATGGGCTGGACTGGATTCCATCCATGATATCGGATAGGGATAATTGTATGGCACTGAACGGATTGGAGAAATACACTGAGAGCCCTATGTCACATATAATGGCACAATAGACAATGAATGAATGATTGAATGAATTTTTTAATGAATAAGTGAATGAATGAATGCATACAAAGGAAACAGTTGTATCGCAGTTCCTGACAAGCTTGCCCAGTTAGCCATAGGTTCAAATCCTCATAGACTCGGGGTTTTCGCTAACCTATGCTCTCCAAGCTGACCCCACCTCAAGTGGAAATCAGGAAATGACTAGGGAGTAAAGGCCGTCGGCGTTATTTGGCGCCAATCGCCGACTGAATATGAAAGCCTAGGGTTTGAACCATTTGCTTAATGTGCCCAGAGGTCTGGATATGGGCACTTTACTTAATTATTTCCTACATAAGGAACAAACATATAGTGTATGTGAAAGTGATAGACAGACATATCGGATATGTGAACAAATTATAATGGACAAGTCCAGATTGGCCGCGAAACTTGTCTGCCTAATGTAAAGTAGGTCATGGCCTAATCATGGAACTGGACAGGGTAGGTGGTATTTCACATCCAAGACTGCAGTCTGTAAGATTACCAACTTAAAGATGTGTCCCAAAAGATGCGATATCCGCTGAAAACTGTAGTTTTGTGATATCGGGTTTAACAAGTAAACTGACATTTAAATTTGTTTCTGTTTCTGTGTTTGGTTAGCTGCCAGGTAGGCCGAGAAACAATTGTCCAGGTTCTGGTGGGTTCCTGGTGCGAAAAGGTTGAAGAACACTGCTCTACACGACTTCCATAAAACACATTTCCACTCGCGTCCTGCCCTGCTAAAGAACGCTTAAAAGCACAGCTGGAGTTTTTGCTTGTAATGGCGCTGGTGATATTTTTTTTTTTTTTACTATGTGTGGAAACTTATGGGTCACTTATTTTACTGATGGCGTAAACACGAATACTATACGTATTGAAATATTCGGAAGAATATGTTCATATTCACACGCTTGCATTTCACAATTGCACCAAATGGCAATATTATAACCAACGTTGTGTTGTTAATGTCAAACATGGACACTATCTTTAGAATACAGAATGAAAATAGTCACGACAGAAATAAAATATTTACGTAATGTACTAGATGCAACGAGGACAGCTCGATTTAGAAACGTTGATATTAGGAGAGTCGACACAGAACCATGTGTACTGAACTCTGTAGGGAGACATTAAATCAAATGGTTTGGCCATGTAACAAGATTGGCAGCAGACAGGGCACCATAGAGAGCAATGTTATACAGATACAGTAGTAACAGAGCCAGAGGTTGACGACGCAGAAGATGGACCGCAGAAATAAAAGACACACTGAAAAGTACTTTATATAAAGAGAACAGAAGAGTTCGTTCCAGAGATCTCTTCCTGTCCTGACGCTGGGAGTCATTCCTGGAGTAGAGGAAAGAAGAAGAAGAGAGAAACAATAACAAATATCCACATAGGTTATTTGAAAAAAAAAAAAAAAAGAAACTTTCGAGATAATTATTCTTTACCTTCTCCTGTTGCTGCTGTATTTGTTTCATGAGTATCGATCTCTTCTTATCCTTGCATCTCTTGTTCTGGAACCAGACTCGGATCACCCTCGGGCTGAGACCGGTCATCTCTGTGAGCTGTTCCTTCATCAGGGCGTCAGGTCTCGGGTTGGCGTTGTAGCACGTACGGAGCGTGTGCAGCTGTTTCTCGTTGAGCACTGTTCGAACCCGGGTGGTTTTATGGTCAGACTTGTGGCTACTCCGCGAGGATTTGTCTCCGCGACCTAAAGGGAGGCAACAAGGAGGCAACTCAACTTTACTGGCTAACATACAACTAACACACATTTAACCAATGAGATTTGAGCAAAGAAGATGCAAACAGAATGCACACTATCATGCCTGGCATCCCTGTATGGGTTCTGGGGCCATATTGTGGGGTAAACAAGAATAGACCACAGCCTCCCCAAAAGCATCCTTCGAAGTCAGAATGTACCTGCCTGAGAGGAAGGAACCAACAATCTGCATACAGTTAAGTCTGATATGTTAAAGGGATGTGCACACAACACTCAGGTTCTGAAAGAAGTCCAAAATCCAGAGGTGGACAAACAATCAGAACTTTCCACCGGCGTTTAAAGCCAGTGAACTCGAAGAAGAAGAAGAAAAAGAGGAAGAAGAAGAAGAAGAAGAAGAAAAAGAAGAAGAAGAAGAAGAAGAAGAATGTCTGGCATAACTAGCTGCTGTCGCTACACAAAGACATAGTTGTGAACTTTATTTCATTACTTTATGTGCAGTTTATTTTGTTCAAACAGGCAGCTGCATGTTAAAGTGATACATTTTCGTACATAGTTGAAAAAATTCACGTATTTTCTTCATTGTAATATGTTTATGTAGTATGCTCCTGACCTAATTACACATTAAAATTTGCAACAGAAAGAAAATAAAATAGTTCCCCCCCCCCCCCTAAAAGAAAACACAACACTCAATGTTCAACATGTTCACTTCTTCTTGTGTATGTTGATGCAAGTAAATAAGACAGGCAACACATACACGAGATGACCGTGTCTGCCAGGTCGACCCAGCCCCTGACTGGCCCTTTACTTATTTTTTACTTTTTTTACGCTATCAGTGTCAAACACGGATAGTTATTACAAAATTATAAGAACAGAAGAAAAAAAGATGTCTCAGAGGAGCAGCAGTGAAAGAAATAAACTTGGAAAGTAAGAAAATGTGAAGAAGACCCGGACTAAAAGCAGTCATACAATATTTTCAAAGGACAAAATCTAACAAGAATGCCCTGGTACCTTCTGCCACAGAATGAGACACTGAAGAATTTTGAAGAGCAGGAAGCAAAGGACAGACTAGGTAAAGGATAGAACGACAAAATTAGGTATAGCCTCAGAGTAATACAGAGCAACTTATCCAATACTTTAGAAAGAACAGTATAGCCTTAAAGTAATACAGAGCAATTTATACTGTTCATTAGAAAGAACAGTACAGCCTTAAAGTAATAATGATCAGTTTATACAAGACTTGGAAAGAACAGTACAGTTTTAAAGTAATACAGATAAACTTTTACAATACATTGAAAAGAACAGTAAAGCCTTAAAAGAATACAGATCAATTTATACAATACTTTAGAAAGAACACACATGAGATCTTCACATCTGCTCCAACACTGCTAAGAGGAAACCCGGTGAGGAAAAGAAGGAACAGCATTTTCTGATAAGATTCTGGTACATTCTAGTAAGTACTAAGTATCAGTTCGAAACCAAGGCCCACCGGTCGCACCATTAGAGGCTCAGACTCTCGCAACAAATGTCTAGAAGAGTATATGCTAACAGCTCCTTGTCCGAGCCACACCTTATTCCTCGCTGGCATATTCATTAACAAGTTTTTTTTCCCCTCTAAACTTGTGTCTTCCATTAGCGTTCGTTCATAAATGGTCTTCAGAATGTCTCCTTTGTCCAGTACGAGTGTTCCCGTAGGTGCCGTTTTTTTTTTTTTTTAGGCCAGACTCTTTCATTCCATCGTGCTCCTGCATATCCACGTGATTCCTTGCAATTTGAACGTACTGATGCTTGGTATCTTCTCGTGCTGCATTTGTCTATTTGAACTTGATATTTTCTGGTGACACATTTGTCCATTTGAACCGTATGATCTTCTCGAGCCACATTTGTCCATTTGAACCTTGGTATCTACTCATGGCACATTTGTCCATCTGAACCTCGGTATCTTCTCGTGCCACATTTGTCCATTTGAACCTTGGTATCTTCTCGTACCACATTTGTCCATTTGAACCTTGGTATCTTCTCGTGCTGCATTTGTCTATTTGAACTTGATATTTTCTGGTGACACATTTGTCCATTTGAACCTTGGTATCTTCTCGTACCACATTTGTCCATTTGAACCTTGGTATCTTCTCGTACCACATTTGTCCATTTGAACCTTGGTATCTTATCATGCCATATTTGTCCATTTGAACCTTGGTATCTTATCATGCCACATTGTCAATTTGAACCTTGGTATCTGCTCGTGCCACATTTTTCATTTTGAATCTTGGTATCTTCCCGTGTCACATTTCTCCATTTGAACCTTGGTATCTCATCATGCCACATTTGTCCATTTGAACCTTGGTATCTGCTCGTGCCACATTTGTCCATTTGAACCTTGGTATCTGCTCGTGCCACATTTGTCCATTTGAACCTTGGTATCTGCTCGTGCCACATTTGTCCATTTGAACCTTCCACAGCACCGTCTGAGAATCAGACACAATAATTCTCTGGTAAATCCATTTTCTGCTATCAACATCAGAGCTGCAGTTTTTACTTCCACCTCCATCATCATACTTGAATTTGTAGATAGAAAATTTTCATTTTGTTCTGCCACCTTTTGATGCAATCTAACTAAAATCCCCAGAAAATCTCTAAAGTTTTAGGAAAGGTTCTGGTAAGGCTTTGACAATAATATTTAGGCGACCTGAAGGATCACATATAGTGCAGTGACTAGCATGCTGATTTGCCGAAACGGTGGTCACAATTTCAAATCGCTATCCAGAGCATAATTTTCAGACCCAGAACGGGACACAGTCAACCCAGATTACGTCTACAATGAATGGGTCTTGCTAGCTCTACTGCTTTTGGATTTAGCTCACTGAATCAAACTCTATATGTCTTAGATGAGTGCCCCAGACTTTGCCAGTTAAAGAACAGAAATCTGGTCCACAAAAGAGTTCCAGCAAAGATAATCTATGGGGCACTATGAGGCACAACCTGGCACTCTGGGGAACCAGCGAAAACCGTAAGCGCACTGTCCCGTTTGTGGCCCATATTGGAAGAGACGCTTAGCAAACACAACACTGATCGCTGAAGAAGAATCGTCATGGCGGTGGATTTTCACATGTAAACTTGATATCACAACAATAACATGCACCTTTCTTGGGGAAAAAAAGCAGCTGGTATGTGATTAGTCACATCAAACATTTATTGCTGAACCAGTCTATAAAGGAAGGGTACCGCACCAAATGCTTAACGAATAATGTTAAGGGCGGCAAAATGTACTAGCAGTAAATGAGTTAGCGTATAAAGAGAACGGGTTCAATAAGTGACTGCACAGGGGCGTTATACATTATAAATACGGATATCATTTGAAGTGCTGTCACAAAATGAAATGAACGTTGTTTGTTACACAAAGAGTTCAACTCCATAAAAGTATATTTGGCTCCCCTTTTCTTCTTCGTCTTCTTCGCGTTCACCAGCTGTACACTCTGGTGGAAAGTTCTGGTTGTTCGTCCTCTTCTGAACTGCAGTCCTGCTCCAGAACCTGAGTGTTGCGTGTGCATCAGTTTTACAGATCTGATTCACTTGAACCAGACTGTTGGTTCCTTGCCTCTCAGGCAGATGCACTCCGACTTCAAAGGAAGCTCCCCAATTAGTCGACTCTTACGACATGCTTTTGGGTAGGCAGAGGGTCTATTCTTGTTTTCCCCACGATGGGGCCCCGGAACCCACACGGGGAGGCTCCCCTTTTAATTTCACGTGGAAGCTTTGGTCATAAATATATTTTTTTTTGGGTATCTAGAAACCATGAGTTGTTAACCCTTTGGCTTCCTACTATGGATATCGCAACTCTTCGGCCTTAATTCCATAATAGGTACCGTAAACCTGGGAGAAATATGGCTTTTCTGCCTACCCCTGGGAGTGAACCCGAACCACAAGGAGTTAGTCACCTGGTCACCGCGATGTCAGTTTTAATGAACTAGGCTAGAGAGCCGGGCAATGATCCTAAATATAACACTCGACTTCATGTGGAGGTGATGTTCTAAGGTGTATAAACAAGACGTCCTTTAATTATGCTCATACAGGACCCAACTGGTAGTCTTTAAACTGCTTAGAGAGCTGCATAAGTACAGACAGATCGCTTTGCGTTCATCCTGATATCGGTATTGAATGTTGTACCGTTAAGAGGGCAATGGCAAAAGCATCATCAATCAAGAGGCCATGCACAGAAAGTCGCTGTCATCACGGCACGCCTGAAAATCCCTCTTTCTCTAGCCAATTCTCGAGCCCTATGTGCTTTCATAGCCACTGCATCTTCACTGCCTTGTACCAACATTCTGTCTCGTGTTCCGGAAACATGGCCAAAGTACTTTAGCTTCCGGGGCAAGATGCTGTTTATGAGCCAGTTCTCCTCGATGTACAGATTATGCTGGAATGTCGAAGTTTTTTTTTTTTTTTTTTCTAAGTCAGTTGTATTCTAAGAATTTTGCTGTAACAATGGCAAACTACTGAATGTAATTTTGCCTAGCAAAACCCCACAGCGGCCATTGAATGTCTGTGGTGTCCTGAAGAGGACCTGCAAATATTTCTGTTTTTTATTGCACAAGTTAATATTCACATTTTTTGCTGGGCACAAACAATGTTGCCAACATCATTTCTAGTATTCTTCTTCTTTATTTCGTTTCTCCATTTAAATGCAGATTCTTTTATTCTAGCAGGAAATCAATTCCATAATTGCCTATATCCATAAATCGTTGCCACATTGGTGGACCCCGAAACCCATTTAGCCAGCCTTCCATGGGAAGGCGCTGAACTGAAACGAGGTTCTAAACTCGCCATGATTCCAAATAAAGGTCAACTGGGCAGACGACAAATCATGATTAATCGGGCGGGATCGATTCTAATCGCATAATAGCGTGCTCTCGTTAAATATTACTCACTGCGGGACCTATTTTCCCACGTTGTACAATGGCGGCCGGTGCAGGCGGAAACCACATATTTATGCTTCC